AATTAGATCAAGCGCAAGAACAGTCTAAAGTTGAGAAATTTTCATTTTTTAGAAGATTCTAATACCGGAAGTAGACGTCAGACCTCACAAATGAAAATATCAGCAGATAGCCAAGGTCAGTGACCTTTGATCTTGTAAAGGAGAAGGTCTAAAAAGGTCAAGATCAAGAGATATACGCCATTAAAATTTCAAATTGCACACGACTATAAAACCGGAAGTTGACATAGGACAGCAAATATAAAAGTATAAATAGATAGCCAATGCCAATGACGTTTGATCCTACAAAGGTCAAGGTCAACAAAGGTCAAGGTCAAAAATTGAAAATTTTGAATTTCCAAACCCTGTTTCTTTTTTTTCAAATATGAAGCGGAAAGAACCGAAATTTTGAGACAAAGTGCCTCAAAATATGAGGTAATTGTATGCAAAGTTCCATTTTGAACAAATGTATACTTTGCGAGTTGTGCCCCTGGCCAAAAATGTCAATAATCAGTAATTTAACACGGATTTACCATGCCCACCTCAATTTTTTTGCATAGGTTAATTGATATTCAAAATGTTACGTTATGTTCCAAATGTCAAGCTCCTACATAATACAGGTCAAAAGATATAGGTCAACAAAAGTCAACAAAAGTCAAAATCGAAAAATGAAAATATCCAAATGTAAAAAACCCGTTCCTTTTTTGGAACTATAAAGCTGAAACAACTGAGCTGTTAACACAAACTGGCCAAAAGGATGAGGTAATTGTGTGCAAAGTCTCTTTTTGAACAAACGCATCCTATGCGAGTTATGCCCCTGCCTCTAAATGTAAACAATAAGTAATTTAACCCGGATGTGCCCACGCCCACATAAGTTTTTTGGTCATAGGTGAATTCATATTCAAAGTGTCTACTTGTATTCCAAATATCAAGGTTCTACATCAAATAGATCATAAGATATACATACACCAAGATCAAAAAGACACAAATATGGTAAAAAAAACTCAAATTTGAAAAAATCACGAATTTCAATTTTGCTTTAAAAAAACCGATTGTTATATATCTATGTAAAGTGCATGAGAAGCACATTAGGAAACCGAAAAAATTAACCCTCTAGGTTAATTAGGTCACTTGCTAGAGCAGTCCAAAGTTGCGAATTTGGCTTTTTATGGATAGCTATAAAACCGGAGTACATGACGGAGGTCAAAGGTCAAAGTATCAAATGATATCCAAGTTCAATAACCTATGAAGGTTAAGGTCATCAAAGGTCAAGGTTGCATGGTGTGGGTGTTTCAAATTGAAAAAAAAATAACCGGAAGTTGCAAAAAAGCAAAAGCGAAATTCAAAATTCGGCTCCCAATGTTTTTTGCGCAATCGATTGCGGAATACATTCACATAAAATTTGAGCATATCAACCTTTACCCTGAGGCCCCATTTTGAGTTTTACAAAAGTGTATTTTTTCAATATGGTGTCCGAAGTATCACTTCCGGTCTGGATTTTATTTTAAAATCGGCCATAGAATTTTATTTGCTAAAGATCAGCTAAATTTTGTTGACCTACATAAATTACACCGGAAGTTATTCAAGAGGAAGTAGATTTGAAATTCAGTCGCTTTCCTGTTTAAAAGCGGAACTGACGTACAAAATTTGACTGTATCATATTATTTACATTAGTGAAGTCTCTTTGCATTTAAAATTTCAGATCAATCGATGCAAAAGCAAAAAAATTGAAAAATTTGATCGAATAAAGTGAGCTACGAATTTTGAATTTCGTAATTTTTCAAAGACCATCACGTAAGAAATTACAGGTAGACAGTAAAAATGAAAACCCGATGAAAATCGATGCAAAAATGCGCCTTCTAGAGCCGATTTTCGACTTTTTGCACATGTTGACGTGTGGCACTTCCGGTTTTGCAAAAATGTTTTAATCTATATTCATTTTGTAGTTGCCACTACAGAAGGTCTACACATGTAAACAAATTTTGATGCAGCGGACGAAGCCTAGGCTGTGTGCCCTGTGTAAAAATCAAAAAAAAAAAAAAAAAATTTACAATAGGGTAACAGAATGGGACTTTGCCAAAGCCCCACAAAAATAAAATTATCTACAAAATTAATGGAAACGATTCAGTTTCGAGCTCAACTCGAAAGCTGTAAATATTTGGCAGTACAGTAACAATTACCAGTATGAAATATTCAACCTTCAGACATGCACATATCACCAAGTTTCATCAAAATCTGTCAAGATTTGGGCCTTCTAGAGTGTTTACAAGCTAAAAATTGAACGCATTTTCAAGAACAAGGGCTACTCATACTAATTATTTTTAGATTATTCTGATTTTCCATAGGGTACATCCTTGGGTGATTACTAACACACATACCAAGTTTCATCTAAGATTTGTGCCATCTGGAGAGTTTACGTGGTAAAAATTGAATGCGTTTTAAGAACACGGCCAATAACTCATACTAAATATTTTTTGATTTTTCTGATTTTCAATTGGGTTTATCCTTGGGTGATAACAAACACTCATGCCAAGTTTCATCAAAATCCTTCAAGAATTGTGCCTTCTAGAGTGTTTATGAGCTAAAAATTGAATGCGTTTTAAGAATAACTCATACTAAATATTTTTGATTTTTCTGATTTTCAATTGGGTTTATCCTTCGGTGATAACAAATACTCATACCAAGTTTCGTCAAAATCCATGAAGAATTGTGCCTTCTAGAGCGTTTACGAGCTAAAAATATAACGCTTTTTCAAGAACAAGGGCAATAGCTCATACTAAATATTTTTCAATTCCTCTGATTTTCAATAGGGTTTATCCTTGGGTGATAACAAATACTCATACCAAGTTTCGTCAAAATCCATGAAGAATTGTGCCTTCTAGAGTGTTTACGAGCTAAAAATTTAACGCTTTTTCAAGAACAAGGCCAATAGCTCATACTAAATATTTTTCAATTCCTCTGATTTTCAATAGGGTTCATCCTTAGGTGATTATAAACACTCACACCAACTCTTGTCAAAATCCGTCAAGAATTGTGTCTTGTAGAGAATTTACGAGAAATTGTGGACGGACACATATGCGTTGATTTTTATTCAGACATAACGGCTTATCCGATTTGAATGTTTTTGGTGTCAAATGAAAGAAGATTAAAAAAAAACATGACATTAGGAAGCTGTTTTTTCGATTCTTGATTTTGCTTTTTTGCAACTTCCGGTTGAATGTCTCGTGGTCTTGACCTTTGATGACTATGTCAGAGGTCATTGACCTTGGCTATCAGTTGATACTTTGACATTTGAAGTCTGATACCCACTTCCGGATTAATAGCTGACAAAAACAGTCAAATTCGCAAATTTGGACTGCTCTACCACGTGACCTAATTAACCTAGAGGGTTAATTTTTTTGGATTCTTAATGTTCTCTTCATGCTCTTTCCAGTGATATATTACAATTGTTTTTTTTAATTTGAGTGGTTTTTTTACAATATTTGTGTCTCTTTGAGCTTGGTGTATGTATATCTTTTGACCTATTTAAATTAGAACCTAGAAATTTGGAACACATTTTGATTATAAATTCACCTTATGACAAATAAGTTGAGGTGGCACATCGGGTAGAATTACTAATTGTTTACATTTTAAGCGTAACTCACATAGGATACATTTGTTCAAAAATGAATGGGTTTTAAAATTTCAGTATTTTCAATTTCAATTTTGACCTTTGATGACTGTTGTTGTCCTATATCTTTTGACCTGTATGATGTAGAAGCTTGAAATTTGGAGCACAACTTAACATTTAGAATATCAATTAATTTATGCCAAAGAATGAGAAGGGCGTAGCACATCCGGATTAAATTACTCATTATTGTCATTTTTGGCCAGATGCATAACTCGCAAAGAATAAATTTATTCAAAATGGAACTTTGCATACCTCATCCTTTGAGCCACTTTGTCTTAGAAGTTTGGTTGTTTCAGCTTCATAAATCAAAAAAAAGGAACAGGTTTTGGAAATTCAATATTGTTGGCCTTGACCATTATAAGGTCCGATTTTATAGCTGTCCAAAAACAGCCAAATTCGCATCTTTGGACTCCTCTAGCACATGACCTAATTACCCTAGACGATTAAATCTTTCGGATTCTAAATGTGCTCTTCATGCACTTTTCAGTGATATATATCAACTGTTTTTTAATGGAAAATTAAAATTCGTGATTTTTTTTACAATATTTTTGCATTTTTGAGCTTGGTGTATGTATATCTTATGATCTATTTGATGTAGAACATTGAAATTTGAAAGACAACTATACATTTTGAATATGAATTAACCCATGACAAATTGAGGTGGGCGTGGCAGATCCGGGTTACATCTTAGGGCAGGGGCATAACTCGAATAGGATGCATTTGTTCAAAAAGGGACTTTGACACAATTACCTCATCCATTTGGCCACTTTGTGTTAAAAGCTCAATTATTTCTCCTTGATAGTTCAAAGAAAGGAATGGGTTTTAGAATTTTTGTAGGGTCATAGGTCATTGACCTTGGTTATCTGTTTATATTTTCATATTTGATGTCCATCGTAAGCTTCCGTTTTTGTAGCTGTATGCATTTTGAAAATTCAATGGGTTATATCTCATGACTTTGACCATGACAAGTTTAAAGGTCATTGGCTAAGGCTATTCGTCTCCCTCATTTATTTAGACTGTTCTGACACCTGACCTAATTATACCAGAAGGTATTTCAGAGTGTGTTGCAATTTGCCACAGTAGCAAAGTCCCACTCTGTGCCATGTGCCCTTCCTGTGCTTAGACTGTAGTTCCAGCAAACTTTCAAATTTCCTAGACCTTCTATGTAGGCCACGATGTGCATAAATGAATAAATTAGAACATTTTTGCAAAACCGGAAGTGCCAAAGTTCAACGTGCCAAAACTAGAAATTTAAAAAACGGATTTTATATATGTAGCATGTGCAGTTTTTGCTGGGTGCTCTGACCAGAATTTGGAATTTTTTTTTTATAAATTGCGTATCAAACCGTGGAAATCAATAAATCGATTGCCACACAATAATTATAGCTGAAAAAAATATAGAACTATTGATAAAATTTTGAAAATGAACAAGATTAGAACTATACAAACTAGAGACCAACAAACCTGGGGATGTAGACCTTAGTCTAGAAAAAAACCACCATGTAGAGCATGTGAAACCGTTGAAACTACTAATTTCATCAAAAACAGACTCTAAAACCTATTTCATTTAAGACAAAGTTTCCTGTGATTCCAGTTTTGTGGTTTATTGTTTGACCTTTTCCTGCTGTCACATGCAATATGTTGGAGAAACTACCACAGGGTTCGAAATAAGCGGTATATCGCATCGCAGTTTGCAAAAGATTTTGCGATGTAATTCTCGTCAATAGAGCAGTTTTTTTGCAATACAACCTTCCTTTTCAATTTTTCCCGTTTTTACCAAAATCTGGTACAAAAGAAATTCGCGGTCTTTAATAAAACATAAATTTTGGAATAAAAACCCGTTTTCGTTTGAACTGGGATCGTCTGATAAGCCCGCATCATTAGTCTTTGGTTAACCTGAAGGAATATTACTTAGTAATAGACATTCATCATTATCATATTGACAAAAGGTTGTGCCAATTTCAATTACTAGTAATTAAGATTTTATTGATAGAAATACCGTATTTAGCGACTTTTACGATCATATTTTGATCTACCTCATCGAAGGAAAAATTATTCCTCCTGGTCAAATCATTCCTGCAACCCAGGGGTAGCAGGTGGAAAACGTTTTATGTGTTATTAAAGTTATTGCATGATCGAAAAGACAATTTCAATGGACAGTAAACAAGATATTCAATCAGATATTTTGAATTGAAATCGAAATATATACAGAAACATTGATCAATTGTATTATTATTAACATTCCAAGTGATACAATAGGACTAAAATCTGAATAATTTAGTTTAAAAATGCCAGGTGTAAGACTAACTATGGTCAAAAGATGGCAATAAAAATTCGATCCGCAGCTGAATTGGATGTTTTTTAAAGACGATGGAGGAATGGTATCTGAAATCAAATGCAAAAGATTATGAGGAATTTTAACGATAGTTTTTGCGTTGGTATAACCGGCACAGCACTCAAGAGTGACAATGTTAAAAAACATTTAAATTCTGAAATTCACCAACAAGCATGTAGAATTGAAAAAGTCTGGTCAACAGTCGAGGCTACCGCTCCCAAGGGGACAATAGTTCATGCTCTTTCAGCAGTCCAATCTTTGGTGTTGTTTTCCTTTTTTGTATTACATTTTTTAAAATTAAAATTACTACTCAAGTAAATTTATCACTTTTATTATCACCATTCATAACTGTGATTGAAATACTTAATACATTTAGGTACCATGTATCTCTACACAATTGCTCTACTACATTCCAAAAAATTTCTATGCAATTTTAGCTACTGCACGCTAAACTGCTCCGTAAAATTTGAAACTGATATGCAATTTCGGCCCATAGAGCAAAAAACAAAGTAATTCGAACCCGGTACTACCCCTTTCAGCATTAGACTTAACAAGCACCGGTCAAATATTAAACTTAACAAAGCAGGTAAAGCCCCTAGAGTAGCACTTTGTTTTAATACACCTGGACATTCTTTCAAAACCACTATTCTGCAGAAAATTTATAATGCAGAAATAAGAAAATTAAATCTGGCTGAATCCATTTGGATTCATAAACCTGAAACAGCCAAGGGGATTAAATGAATACAATCCTGATACAATGAAAATCTTTTCAAAGTAATAGCACTCCCTGCTTACATATTATTTCCATTATAATGACATCATATTTGATCTTTTTACATCATTCACTGATGACTTCATTTTGCAGATAGTTGATTGAGTAACCATGATGTCATAATTTTTATTTGTCATTTACTTTTTTAATTGTGTTGGTTTTGGACTCCCTGAAGAAGTGTGTTTTTAGACGCACGAATGGTGGAGGAATAAATGGTTTATTTTGACAGAAGTTGTATTATTTAAAGCCTCATATCTTCATCCTGTCAAAGCATTATAGTTTTTTACAACTGAGATCACCATTAATCATCTTCATGATTAGTTTTGTTCAACTTTCATTTTTATTTGGAATTTACATATTATAATGTGGGCATAAAAAACATTTAACAAAGTAAAGATAGCCTGCCAGTCCAGTGTTCAACTTTAAATTGCATATCGTAGGTGACTGCTTGAAACCTTGTATATACCATATTTGGTCATTTTGACTTTTTGGTACAGTTGGAAAGCTAATTTCACGTCATACATGGTTATACCAGGTTTCAAGCGGTTATCATTCACAATATAATCATATCATACTAACTATCAATAATTTTTGTCCTTTTTCATTAAATGTTCAAATGTAATGAAAACTGTACTTCTATCATGCATATAAGAAATGCAAGTTGGACCAACAAGATAATCAACATTTACAATTTCTGGTGGGGAAGTACTGTGCATTTCATGTCAACATCTTGAAAAATCATTCATTCACTATTCAATAATACTGCACATAGAATCATGAAGAACTCTTACTGCCTTCTATCACTGTGGATGTATGGACTGTTATAATTTTCAGGTTCTAATGTGAAACAAACTAGATATAATATCATACATACCTCCATTAAAATCATTAACGTTTAAAGATGCGAAATCTTTTACTTCTGGCACAAATATGACTTCCTCTCTGTCAGAAATATACTCTTTTTTTATTGTTTTGTCTTTATCACTCTCTTTCTCCTGATGATGTTTGCTTGATTTCTTTTTCTTTGGATTTAAATTGCGCCTGTATCTTCTCATAATTTCAGACATCTTTTCATCCTCCACTTGAAATGCATTACATGCTGGACTAACAAGAACTTCAGAATCCTTTAATTTTGAATGATCTACGAGTGGTGAGGATGGCATTTCTGTTTGCATTGAAGGAAGTTTTGAGTTATTGTTTTCGATTTGATCACTACTTCTATTTTTATACGATAAACTTTCTAAATTTAAATTTTGATCGGTATTTAAAAAGTTGCTATTCTCCAGAATAATTTCAGGAAGAGCACATTCTTTTTCAACAGTTTCAAGGTAGCCGACCTCTTTTGGTTTGTCATCTTCCTCAAAAAAAGGGGCATCACAGATATCCAATCGCTGAAAACAATCTTTAGATGACTCATATTGTAATAATTTCTTGGTTTCTGTTTCACTATCTATTTCAACATGGGGTTCTACAAAACTTGGTAAACTTAGTGGTGTGGAAATTATGGACAATGGTGTCATAGTGTCTATGGTTCCTGTATTTGCAGGCGAGCCAATCAATGTGTTTGTCATGACAGATTGTTGAGGATTCATAATCAATGGTGAAAATGGGTTACATGATCCTTGTAAAAATTGTCCTTGACCAGTGGTAAAAATAGCCTGATTGATAGGAAATCCTTGAACAGCAGATGTGAACTGATTGATTGGTATTTGATGAACAAATTGATTGAATTGATTAACTGGAAATCCAAGGATACTGATTGGAGTATGTGTTCCTGATGTGATATGAGGAGCAGAGGTTATTGCTTGTGATAGACTTGGTTGAGTAAAACACAATGTCTGTGGTAATGAAACAAAGTTAGGAACAGTGGCTGCTGGAGAAGGTATGATGTCAGTTGATTTTACTGGTGAAACTTGATTTATACTCTCTTCACAACTTTGACCTTTAATGAGAGAAGAAACATATAAATTTGTTTCATTCATAAAGTTTCAAAAATTAAAAATCAATTAAGCCTTCAGATTTAAGACTTTAAGAGCTACAGCAATGCCCTTCTACACTTCTTGTTTACGAATTTTACCCAGAAACTATTTATAAGTATATGTATACTGTCTAGCACTTGCACCATTCAAATACAAACAGGGCTTATTTAATGTTAAAGATAGCTTACCAGGCAAGATAACATACGCCCAATGGCAGCTGTCAGAAATGATAAAGCAGTGTTTAATGTGACTAATGTATGAATTTTCTCATATTAAAGAAATTTTAATAGTTTGAATTCAATGATATATATATTTACTGCCAGTTATTTATGCTGAGAAATACCAACAGCAAGACCTATAGGACCAAATATTCATCATAATGTAGGCATAGCACCCTTTGTTGTCCCGTTTAATACAACCAGCAATCGAGCAAGCAAGATAGTTCATGCCCACTATAAGAGCCTTCAAGAGAAATTCCCCCATGTCTATAAGCAGAAAATGATAGTTGCATATTCAAAAAATAAGAACTTAAATGATAATATTGTTCATAGTAAACTAAAAACAATCAGTACATAACAGATACTATACTTCTCGCCCATCGGGCGAGTTATTTTTTCTAATTTCAGATCAGAATAAGAACAGAAGAAAACCCAATATCAAGACCCTTAATCCTAATTTCTAAATAAAGTGTCTGCTCCACCCTAGGCCTGTACATTTGGGAGAATCAAACCCTCCCTTCCCCGAAATCAAAAACCATTCATCGAAAGATTGTCAAATTTGAACTTGACCAAGAACTTATCAATATAAATAATCAGACTAAATTTCATTAAAATGAGTTGAAAACTGTAGTCTCTATTGTGTTCACAAACAAATTTTGATGCGTTTTTCCTAAGTCAAGGGCAAGAACTCAAAGATAGCTTGCGAGGCAAGGTAAGATACGCCCACTGGCAGCTGTTAGAAATGATAAAACAGTCTTTAGTGACTAAAGTGCGAATCTTTTCATATTGAAGAAATTTTATTACTTTGAATTCAATTACATATATATGCCAGTTATTTATGCTGAGTAATTCCACAAAATTTTTTAAAATCAATATCAATAACCCAAATACAACAAACAATTAAATCACATAGCTCTAATCAAGGGCAAAAAACAACTTTTGACGCATGTTTACAAAGTCAAGGGCAATAACTCAAAAAAAGTTCATCTAAAATGGGTCAAGTTAGAACTTGTCCGAGATCTTATCAATTCCATTGATCACACCAAGTTTCATCAAAATCGGTTGAAAACTGTAGCTTCTATTGTGCTCACAAACAAATTTTGAAGGGTTTTACAAAGTCAAGGGCAATAACTCAAAAACCATTCATCGAAAATGCGTCAATTTGGAATTCGTCTGAGATCTTATCAATTTCAATGATCACACCAAGTTTCATCAGAATCGGTTGAGAACTGTAGCTTCAATCCTGCTCACGAACTATTTTTAACAAATTTCAAAGCATTTTAACAAAGTCAAGGGCAATAACTCAAAAACCATTCATCGCAAATGCGTCAAGTTAGAACTTGTCCGAGATCTTATCAATTCCAATGATCACACCAAGTTTCATCAGAATCGGTTGAAAACTGTAGCTTCAATCCTGCTCACAAACTATTTTTAACAAATTTCGACGCGTTTTAACAAAGTCAAGGGTAATAACTCAAAAACCGTTCATCGAAAATGCGTCAAGTTAGAACTTGTCCGAGATCTTATGAATTCCAATGATCACACCAAGTTTCATCAGAATCGGATGAAAACTGTAGCTTCAATCCTGCTCACGAACTATTTTTAACAAATTTCAAGGCGTTCTAAGTCAAGGGCAATATCTCAAAAACCGTTCATCGAAAATATGTCAAATTCAAACTTGACCGAGATCTTATCAATCTAAACCATCACACCAAGTTTTATCAAAATCAGATAAAACCTGTAGTCTCTATAGTGCTCACAAGAAATGTTGACGTAAAATGTGGGCGTATAAAAAACCGTTCATCGAAAATGCGTCAAGTTAGAACTTGTCCAAGATCTTATGAATTCCAAAGATCACACAAAGTTTCATCAGAATCGGTTGAAAGCTGTAGCTTCAATCCTGCTCACGAACTAATTTTAACAAATTTCAATGCATTTTAACAAAGTCAAGGGCAATAACTCAAACTTAGCTTGCGATGCAAGCTAACATACGCCCACTGGCAGCTGTCAGAAATGATAAAACAGTCTTTAGTGACTAAAGTACGAATTTTTCTCATATTGAAGAAATTATTTATGCTGAATAATTCCACAAAATTTTTTAAAATCAATATCAATAACCCAAATACAACAAACAATTAAATCACACAGCTCTAATCAAGGGCAAAAAACAACTTTTGACGCGTGTTTACAAAGTCAAGGGCAATAACTCAAAAAATGTTCATCAAAAATATCTCTTGTTAGAACTTGTCTGAGATCTTATCAATTCCAATGATAACACCAAGTTTCATCAGAACCGGCTGAAAACTGTAGCTTCTATTGTGCTCACAAACAAATTTTGACGCGTTTTTCGTAAGTTAATGGCATTAACTCAAAAACATTTCATCGAAAATGTGTCAAGTTAGAACTTGTCCGTGATCTTATTAATTTCAATGATCACACCAAGTTTCATCAGAATCGGTTGAAAACTGTAGCTTCTATTGCGCTCACGAACAAATTTTGACGCGTTTTTACAAAGTCAAGGGCAATAACTCGAAAACCGTTCATCAAAAATGCATCAAGTTAGAATTTGTCCGAGATCTTATCAATTCCAATGATCACAACAAGTTTCATCAGAATCGGTTGAAAACTGTAGTGTCAATCCTGCTCACAAACTACTTTTAAACAAATATTGACGCGTTTTTACAAAGTCAAGGGCAATAACTCATTAACCGTTCATCTAAAATGCGTCAAGTTAGAACTTGTCCGAGATCTTATCAATTCCAATGATCACACCAAGTTTCATCAGAATCGGTTGAAAACTGTAGCTTCAATCCTGCTCACAAACTATTTTTAACAAATTTCGACGCGTTTTAACAAAGTCAAGGGCAATAACTCAAAAACCATTCATCGAAAATCCGTCAAGTTAGAAATTATCCGAGATCTTATCAATTCCAATGATCACACCAAGTTTCATCAGAATCGGTTGAAAACTGTAGCTTCTATTGCGCTCACGAACAAATTTTGACGCGTTTTTACAAAGTCAAGGGCAATAACTCGAAAACCGTTCATCAAAAATGCATCAAGTTAAAATTTGTCCGAGATCTTATCAATTCCAATGATCACAACAAGTTTCATCAGAATCGGTTGAAAACTGTAGCTTCAATCCTGCTCACAAACTATTTTTAACAAATTTCGACGCGTTTTAACAAAGTCAAGGGCAATAACTCAAAAACCATTCATCGAAAATCCGTCAAGTTAGAAATTATCCGAGATCTTATCAATTCCAATGATCACACCAAGTTTCATCAGAATCGGTTGAAAACTGTAGCTTCAATCCTGCTCACAAACTTTTTTTAATAAATTTTGACATGTTTTTACAAAGTCAAGGGAAATAACTCAAAAACCGTTCATCGAAAATGCGTCAAGTTAGAACTTGTTCGAATCAGTTGAAAACTGTAGTTCAATCCTGCTCATGAACTATTTTTAACAAATTTTGACGCGTTTTAACAAAGTCAAGGGCAATAACTCAAAAACCGTTCATCGAAAATGCGTCAAGTTAGAACTTGTTCGAGATCTTATGAATTCCAATGATCACACCAAGTTTCATCAGAATCAGATTAAAACTGTAGCTTTAATCCTGCTCACGAACAATTTTTAACAAATTTCAAGGCGTTCTAAGTCAATATCTCAAAAACAGTTCATCCAAAATATGTCAAATTCGAACTTGACCGAGATCTTATCAATCTAAAGCATCACACCAAGTTTTATTAAAATCAGATAAAAACTGTAGTCTCCATAGTGCTCACATGAAATGTTGACCGAAGGACCGACGGACAGGGGCGACGACAATATACGACCACATATTCATGTGGGAGTATAAAAACCGTTCATCGAAAGCTCGTCATATCCAAACTTGACCAAGATCTCATCAATATAAATGATCACAACAAATTCAATTAAAATCAGTAAAAAACTGTAGTTTCTCTTGTGTTTCAACTGAAGTCTCTATTGCGACGGCAATATACGTCCACATTTCCATTTGGGCATATAAAAAGGATGTTTGAAGGCATAAACCCACTGGCTGGTGAGGAAATTGTAATGTTATGCTAATATTCATTTGAGAGAATCGATACAAGTGAAATTATGATCAAATTGAAATAATACAAATTGATTGTTATCATGTGTGAACTCATTTAGACCAAGTTCAAGAGTTCAATATGCTGATAAAAAACTATTAAAAAAGTAAATTTAATGGTTGTAACATATTGGATAGAATTAATTCCTTTTAATCGTGGTCATTCAATATTTTATATATATGATTGACCACCAAGATAATTCAACACTTGTTTCATTAAAAATATTAATTGGTTTTCTCAAATGAGTATGAATATGAGTGGAATAATAGAGTTCCACAATTCCAGTATTTTCCATCGTACATCTCGTATGTGTATTTAACTAACTAGTTAAATAGATTGAATAAAACAGTTGATAATTATAAAGTCTTAATATATACGGGAGCTGGGACGCTAGAGTGGAGCCAAAGACCAGGATTTTTTTTTTGTTCACTAACAAGAAAACCTTACAAAGCGGTCGTCTACAATACACAATGTGAAGTCCATGCAGTATTGCCACCAACTATTGAAGTCCACTGTAATTGAATCAACTACTGAAGTCAACCAACTGTTGACGACAACACAAGCCTAGAACTAAGGAAAAACTCCACAGATAAGCCTACGTTACCAACCAGTAAGTACCTCTTTAGTAGCCTTTTTGTTCCGAACACGTTTGACCAATACTTAATAAGATTAAGATATTAAGATACATTATACTTGTTTTTAAGGTTAAATTATTCTCTCTCTCATCACCTAATTAAGTTCCCCTTAACTCGTTTACTTTCAAAATGCCTGGTAGTGAAATTGTACCCGTCAAAATATTAGCTGAGAATTTTTACAAACTCCAGTTAGAACTTCGTGCCCAGTCCCTTCCAAATTATTTGAGACCTTTTTCCGGCAAGGGAAATCATAAATTTTCGGACTGGATACGAGACCTTGAACATGTAGGTTTGCTTTGTCAAGCTGATTATGAACGACTACGTAATTTTTGTCTTATGTCGGTTACTGGCCCAGCATCTAATTATGTTATACGCTACATCAAAAGCAACCCTACTTGTTCTTGGCGCCATCTAAAATCGGCGTTAAAAATTCATTTCAGCGATTTGTCAGATATTCAATTCGCTAAGAAAAAATTGTTAAGTTTAAAACAAAATTTCGGAGAATCTGTTCAGACTTATGGAGACCGTATTCTCAGCACAGCCGAGGATGCCTACACTGGCGATGAATTAGTTCATCCCATCATACAGGGCATTCTTAAAGATGTTTTCATGGACGGGCTGCGAGAACATTTTATTATTCGCAAGTTAATTCGCGACCAACCTTTGACGCTAGAGGAAAGTCAAGTCGGCTCTAGTGGAGCAACAAACGGCTCGTACCTGTAATTTGTTACGGACCTAGCGCACTGAGGAACCAATGGAACTAGACACCATTGCGCAAGTCAATAATCTTAGCAATAAAGTAGATAAGCTTATTGCTGATATCCATAGAATGCCGAATCATTCACAATCCAGTTCTCACAATTCACGTCCCCCATCGAACCAACGGTCTAATCCAATACCTCACCGGTCACGCCCCAATGATCCGCCGCGCTCTCATGATTATTCTCGTTCTTATCATAAACCAATGACTCATAACCAGTTTCACGGTCGTTCGGATTTGCATCATTCCCGCGCACATACTCAAGGTTATTATCGTTCACACATACCACAGTCTTTTCAAAATACACCGCGGTCTAATCAATATCAGTTTACACAAGACGGCAGGCCCATTTGTTTTAATTGCCACACGCCCGGACAGACGCGCCACGCTTGTAGAAAACAAGCCCATTCAAAAAACTGGTAGCCCCCAGGTGTGTTGAAAAAGGTTAAGATGACCTGGGTCACCAAACTTTTGGACATAATATCGGCAATTCTAAACACAATTCAACTAATTCTTATGTTCTTGACTACATTTCTGATGTTTATACACATTCCCTTCTTGACAGTGGTTCGGAAATATCTCTAATAGATTTGAAATTTTTTCAGCGATTGCCACAAACTCATATTTCACATTATACAACTGATCAATCACAGTTACACTGTTTAGTTGGCGTCACAGGCAATCCGCTCAACGTTCACGGTAAAGCTGTTATCACGTTTAAGTTTGCTAAACGATCTATTCAATTTGCTTTTCATTTTGTTGACCGTCTAGGCAAAAATCTTATAATCGGTAGCGATTTCTTTAAATCATTTGGTGTCATTTTAAATTTCCAACAAAATATTTTAAATTGTAAATCTGAAATTATCACCCTTTTAAACACCACAAACAATTCTGTACCTCAAATCCACCTGGCCAAACTGTCCACCAATCATCATATTCGTCCGTATTCGTCTTGTCATTTTACTTGCAAAATTCCTTCCCGTTTTCGCAATACGAATATTCTTTTTACACCGTTAGAAATTGCAAATGTTTTCATCGATCAACCTGGATTATTGGCTATTAACAGTATTCACTGTACTAATTCACTGTCTATACAGGTCAAAATTCAAAATACTACTGAATATAATTTCCGATTTCCCAAAAATTCTGTTCTAGGGACTATTGAACATTTTTCAGAAATAAATGCTTTAGATGCGTTATCCGACATGGATAAATCCAAAAGTTCAAAAAATTCTCCTTTTGATTCTGACAAATTTCTTCATATTTCCCCTGGACAACGTTATCAATTAACTGCTCTCCTAAAGCAATACACCAACCTTTTTGCCACAACAGATTTAGAACTAGGTAAAACCAACATCATCAAAGCTCACTTTGATACCGGCGATAGCCCACCTGTACGTCAAAAACCGTACCGTTTACCCTTAACTCAATGTCCGATTGTTGACAAACAAATTGCTGATATGTTGGAAGCAGGTGTAATCCGTCCTTCCACATCCGAATATGCAAGTCCAATTTTGTTAGTTCCGAATCCCAATAATACATACCGTTTTTGTATTGACTACCGGAAGTTGAATTTAAACATGCGTAAAAATAGTTTTCCATTACCTAATATTTCTGATATCCTTATGCAACTCAGTGAGTATCAATATATGACATGCATGGATTTAAAGTAAGGCTACTGGCAGGGTGAGGTAGATGAAGAATCTAAACACAAAACTGCTTTTACATGTTTTCGAGGTCTTTTTGAACATAATCGTCTTCTCTTTGGCATATGTATTGCCCCAAGTATTTTTCAAAACCTAATGCAAACTGTCATGAAAGGATGTCTAGATAAATATGTTAAGGTATATATTGATGATATTATCATCCATTCCAAAACATTTGAAGATCATTTATGTCATCTCGAAGATTTCTTTTGTCGCTTTAAAAAGGCCTTATTAAAACTCAAACCCAGTAAATGCGAATTTCTTAAAGCAGACATCAAATACCTTGGACATATAATTTCAAAAGACGGTATCCGCCTGGATAAGAATAAAATTAGTGCTATTCAGGATATGACACATCCTACAAATATTCGAGGTCTTCGTGGATTCCTGGGATCCGTGGGTTATTATCGATCCTTTATTTCCAATTTTGCCGAGATCGCTAATCCCCTCACACTTTTAACAAAGAAACATGCTAAATTTATTTGGTCTGATGAAGCCAATGTAGCCTTTGAAAAGTTGAAACATGCTTTAATGTCTGCCCCAATTTTGGCATATCCTGATCCATCCAAACCATATAAGTTATATACGGATGCATCCCATTATGCAATTGGAGGTGTCCTTACACAAGATCATGATGATGGCGAAAAAGTTATTCAGTATGTCTTTCACCAATTTTCCAAAACTCAAACTTCATGGCCTGTTATTGAACGAGAAATGTATTCTGTAGTATATTGTACTTTGAAGTTGCACCATTATTTAATAGGATCACAGTTTACCATTTATACAGATCATAAGCCGTTACAATCGCTGTTCACCTCGGAATGCTAAAGTTCAACGCTGGGCTATTATAATGTCGGAATATAATTGTGACATCCAACATGTCAAAGGCAAGGATAATGTTAATGCTGACTATCTATCGCGTATTAAGTCAAAAGCAGCAAACCACCCCGATGAAATAGACAAAGCTATTACTATGGTTGACCACCCTCCTACGTTACACACGACTTCCCCACTTAATTTCTGCGATAATGATCTAATTAATGACCAATCAATAGCTCCTGAAATTGCAGTTATTAACTCTGATAAAATAAATACACAACTGCACCTTCCTGCCTCGTTACTAGATGAAATGAAGTGTGATACTGATAATGAACACAAACCTGTTTCCAATGTAATTAATTTTGAAATACAAAAACCAGAAGAATTACAAGCAGCTGATACTGAAATTTCAAAAATTATTGCCGTTCTCAAAACTGAAAAATCAAACCTTTTCGCTAATAATTTTGTTCTGATCTCAGGGTTGCTATATAACATTAGTGAAACAACCATCCATGATCCCAATAAGCATTTACAATTAGTTCTTCCTTCTCACTTAGCAACCAAAGTCATTTCAAACTTGCACGATTTTCCATTCAGTGGACATCTTGGTATTGAAAAAACATACAATAAAATCCGTCACCGCTACTTTTGGTCCAGCATGTATAAAGACACTGTGTCATACATCGCAAAATGTGATAAATGCAACGCACGTAAACTTACGAAGCAAAAAAGCACCAATTCAAAAAATGCTGGTGGCCGAGTATCCTTTTAAAATCATTGGAATGGACCATTGCGGACCCTACCCATGCAGTATATCGGGTATTAAATACATTTGTACTATACTTGATCATTATTCTGGATGGCCAGAAATATTTGCAGTCCCAGATAAAACTACGGAACAAGTCGCAAAAATTTTATTACATGAAATAATTCCACGTTATGGTTGTACTTCTCTAATAATCACTGACAGAGGAACTGAATATAATTCTTCTGTAATTAAACAACTTACTTCTCAACTAAATATAAACCACATAAAAACTTCGAGCTTTCATCCAGAGTCAAACGGACTCACCGAACTATTTCACCGATTTTTAAATGATACTATGGCTAAGTTTGTCAATCAGTCACATACTGATTGGGATAATTACTTACAAATGATTGCATTAAGTTACCGTACCGCGGTAAATGAACGTACTAAGTATACACCGTTTTTTTTTACAATATGGTCGCGTGCTTCCATTGGATACCTTGCTAAGTCCAAAAGACAAATATTATGGTGACGAGTACGTCCCTACTATGCTCGAACGTCTCCATGAAGCATCGGTGGCTGTAAAAGACAATACGAAAGACAGTCGACTTAAAAACCAAAAATATGCTAATGAGCATCGTTAAAAGGAAACATTAGAAATTGGTGATGCTGTTTATTATTATGATTCCACAAATAAATTACATCACTCTTCAAAATTAACAATCCATTGGCAACCATTTTTTCGAATTATTGATCAAACCTCTCCAGTAAATTTCAAAATCAAACACCAATCAACTGGCAAAATTAAATCTGTTCATTCTAATCATTTACGATTAGCTCATCCAGAAAATTCGTGGGATGAACTCAGAGAAAACCGTACATCAATTCTCCATAAGTTTGAACGTCCCCTTAACACACTCCACAAAAGGCATTTTGAAAAGTATTAATATGTTAATATAATGAATAGAATTTTCATGGCAAGTATGTGAAATTAGTATGGTATTAAAATGATAATAGAAAGATATAATAGTAAATGGCCGTAATATAAGATAAAATGATTGAACATATCAATAATTACCATGGTGTTAATTGAAGTGAGACAATGTTTAATAACTAGTTGAAATTGTTAGTAATGAGCTCTTAGCTAATAATTTTCGGCATAGTTTATTGTAAGATTTACTAATCTTGATTCTTTACGCGTTGATTATACTATTCAACCGTTAAACTGTAGTCTCATTGATTTAACTTGGGCCTGTTAATGGCCATATCCTTGTGTGATGTGAAAGGGTTTCAGCCTGGGGTTTCTTACATAAAAAGTCCAAATTCGCTTCACAAACTTTAATAATCAAACATCAGATTTTTGTAAAAACATGCATTTTTTCTCAATACACAATATCCCTCTAGGGAACAATTGACAATTGCCTAAGCAGGAGTGATTATCCAGTCACAAATGGAAATGGGAGGGTCTAATACTTCAAATGGAACATAACACTTGAGATTTTATGCTATTATATGCAGTGATAACTGTAATACGATATTTATGTAACAATTCCCTTTTTATAGCAAACATTCTTTTTGCTCACTATTATTAGACTATTCTATCGTATATTTCAGATAAAAATGTGTTTTTTTCTTACTATTATCAGTACCCTTGTCTCGTTTACTTTAAGTCAATCTCCTACACAAAATT